TATGTTATGAATTATTTTGTGGCTCTGAATGAAGTCAACCAAACTTTGTAAGCATGACTGACATTTGCAGCCTGCTTTAAATTTTCCTCAACAGAACCATGGGGTCACATAATATCTTAGTGTAGAGAGAAAAATATGACTGACTTGTCCACTAGGCAACAAGATTATTTCTGATGTTGGCATCTAAAAATGTGATCACTGACATACATGTTCCAACAATTACAACAAATCCACCCCATGTACTTCCTGCCTTGCTCAAGTTGCTAAGTAACTAGAAAATGTGTTGCTAGTTCATGTACAGTAGCTCTTCCAGCTACACTAAAAAATAAAAAATAAAAAATGGGTGTAGAAACAATTTTCACTCAGAATTTGCTAGTAAATTTAACAAATAATTACAAGGAAATGGCAAGTAACCCATTGAATTAAATGTGATATTTTAAAGTAGAAAGACTGAAATAGTATTTTCTTGTAAAATCTACACTGTGTTTTATTTACAACTTTGAAAAAATTGTATTTATAAAAGTAGTATTTATTAGCTTTTTAGCTGTAATATGACAAAAATGTAATTAAATAATATTTCTAACTCACCTCAAACATGATGTTCGTCTTTAACAAACGTTTTGAAATCTAACGTTTATGTGAAGTGCTCTTTGTCAGAGTCTTTGTGAACCCCGCTTTGTTTCCTGGTGGACCGTTAAAGACTTCTGCAGACTAGGTCGAAATCCAATAGATATCAGCCAATCATATTTAGACTTTTAATTTTCCCAAATGTTTCCAGTTTAGTGTGCCATAAGCATCAGCTATGAGTGTGGTGGATGAAGGGTAGGCAGTCTATGGCAGTCTATTTTCTGATGCTGAGGCTAGTCCCAACCAGACATGATATGAAAAAGCAACAATTGTCAGGATATTATGTCTTGACAGGACGTGTTGATTTTTATTTTTGTAATGTCATGCTGGGTATACCCGACCAAACTGAAATCTCATCCACTCAGTATAGTTGAATTTCAAACACCAAATAAATTCTGACTCAAACAACTATTGGCTGTGGTTGTTTCGAGTCTCATATTTTTTGCCTTAAGTGTGGACAGACAAATTACTTGTCATTGGACAATAGTGGATTGTACTGTTATTTAACTACATGCTGTTTGTTCTGCTGACAAAACATATTTTGGAAAAACAACTGTCATTAACATAGATTATCTATATAGTGACCAAGAAACAGCTTGAGAGGATACAATTCTTCACACCTTTATGTATGCGGTTTTAGTGACGTTAGAAGACAATTAAACATCGCTCCAGTCTCAATCCTAAGGGCAATTAACCACTCTATCTTTAGAAACCCTTCCTACCACACACACACACACACACACACACACATATTCCTGGCTTATAAATGGCCTCAAAAGCGGTCAAATTAATGAAGAGTGAATGAATTAAGCGTGGAGCATCTTTGAACTGCAGTCACTGTGACTAATAGAATTTGTGAGCCCCCCTTTTTGTCTCGTGCCTCCGCCAAGGGAAAAGCCTCTAAACCCTTTCCCGGCAATCCTCAGGGAGCTCCTCCATACACTAATCAGGATGTTTTATGTATTATTCAAAATGCATTAGCTTGGCTGAATGTGCTAATAACTGGCTCATCTAGCGCTGAGACACTTCAGCACTTAATAGAAGAAGCAGGGGCGATCATGGGAGGGTATGTCACATTGAGTTTAAGATGCGTGGAAAGGTCTGGAGAGTGTTTGCACTACACACTTATAACATGAGCAGCTCACAAGACACGATTGTACTTCATATGATGTAGATAGCGGTGCCGGAAAGAGTTTTCAATTGGGCGGGTTCTGATGTCACAATATAAAAAATGGGCTTATGAATATTAATTTGCTGCATAGTTGCTCACCAGTTTCTAGTCATGTTATCAACCCCTCACTATTTATTAATTGTTGATCTGTGGAGATGTGCTTGGGTTGCGTGGGCTTGTAGGCTTTTCATGTTGATTTGACATTTTGAGA